CATTTCACTCTTGACGATGTGAAATAGCCCCCAAATTTAAACAACCCACAGCCTTTTGTTTTTTGGGACCATCAATGAATTGCTAGCTATAGAACCAGCCTGCAACACGAAACAAGCTGCACAGATAACAGTAATGTTGCAATGCTATGGGATAGGGTTGATTCAACTTACTACATTAAAAGAATGACCAGAAAATTGACTTGGAAAATTGCCGCCCTGAAATGACATTGGATGTTTGGGGCCTTGTTCAAAGGCTTAGCAACAGCGCCACCTTGTGGCAAGCAGCAGCAGAGTTCATTAAACCCGGGTGCAGGTGTTATATTCGCAGTTGATAAGGTTCGAACTTGACTTTCAGGCTAACATATGCGTATTTGCAGGGTATCAAATTGCTCCAGTTTACGCTCCACACATAGGCAGCTTTTCTTTGGCAGGTTCGCCATATGCGGGTCGGTCAAACTCTCATATATTTGAACGTGACTTTGCAAATGCCATCGGTTTTTGGCACCTGCTTTGTTTTAGTTGAGAAAAAAAAAGAAATTTCGATCTGCTGTCACGTAAGTAGGAAAACACTTAGGGTTGCATGTTTGTAGGATTATCTTGAAAGTTCATCTGTGTTGGTAGAAGTCATTATGAAGCAAGTATGAACTTGTAAGATTACGTTGCTCCGAATATCTTTGTTGTATAATAACGCTAGAATATAGATTTCCAAACGATGTAGAGCCTCATAACTTTGTAACAGAACAGGCCATTAGGTTTTTTCATTAGGTTTTTACTCACCAACACACGAGTGGAGGTCGTCCTGCAGCAGGAACCCATCGTGACACTCGCAGGTGTAGAACCCGCGCGCGTTCACACACTGGTGCTGGCAGCCGTGGTCGTGCGTGGCGCACTCGTCATGGTCTGAAAACAATAGTGAGTGGTTCAAACCTTACAGTCTGGTCTCTGGGTTGACATTTTTGAAGAGGTGATAGTCACCTGTTATGTGGTTAAACATAAAAAAAGAAGACAATCTCGTTCCGGGTCAATCTCGCGAGACTTTGCGAGAGTTAAAGAGAATATTATGGATATTATAGGGTGTTAGACTTTACATGTATGGAAATAACCTCAGATCGTAGAAATGAGCAAATACAAAGGGAGAGTGTTTAGGACAACTACACGTATGCATGGGTGGGCTAATCAACTCCCGTCGTACAAAACTGCTACCGGGAAGCCTAGATGAGCTCGGCGGCTTGGAACTACTGCAGGCCCGAGGAGAGCCCACCCAAACCACGGTAGACTGGACACCACGCTATGCATGTAGCCAAAATGAATTAAACCATAGAAATAAAGTAAACTACCAGTAAATTAAGGCCAGAAACTAAAACGAAAAAGAGAGTGATTTAAAAATAACAACTTACCGAGACAGTTGAAGCCGTTTGCATCCAGATAGAAGCCAGGCAGACACGCGCATGCGTAGCTACCGTTGGTGTTCAGACATATCTCCTCACAGTTATTGTCGCCTGCGCACTCGTTGATATCTGTTGTGATGAAATCAGTCCATACAAAATCAACGTCAATGACGAGAACTATGGTTAAAGATAACTTGACAGAATACAGACAAAAAAAAAAACAAGAAATGGATGCTTAAGAAAGAAAAGGGCAAAGGGCAAAGGCCAGTAATCCCCACAGAAGCGTAGTCGGCCCAGTGTTAGTCTGTAGGTTTGCATGTGGTCCCGAGGGGTCAGAGGCCATTTGTGTAACTTCATGTCATATTCACGATAGTTTCTACCGTATGGAATTATCTCCTTATGGACTGAAAGGTCCAATTTAGAGGTTGGAGTATCCTGCAAATGAGTGTTTTTCAATACTCAGGTAGATGACTTTGGACAACTTTTTTTCAATTCCCATGTCATAAGATACCAGGCCCCCTTAGTACTGTCCTTTGCCCGAAACTAGCAAATAGGGTGTGCTGTAAGAGATTGTGACTTGGTCGTATCATCATTTCACGCAATTCATCATCTCAACAAGCAATTCAAATTCAAATTCAAGGAAAAACAAACAGGGAGATCATTAGTTAGTGCTCACCGTTGCACTTCTTCCCGTCCTCGCCCAGCACGTAGCCATCGGGACAGTAACACCTGTAGCTCCCTTCCAGGTTCTCACAGAAGTCACAGCCGTGGTTGTCGGCTGCACATTCGTCGTGATCTGCAAGGGGGCGTGATGGAATCCGAGTTATTCCCTGATATGACATTTTCTAGAAAGCAGGATGTAAGACTAAGTGTGGAGTCTAGTGTTTAGGCCGTCGATTACTTCCGATCCATCCATTTAGGAAGGAGACGTAGTTTTGGAGAAGGAGAAAACAATCTTCTCTAAACATTTATTCAGCACAACAAATGTACGAAAGGTTAGAATATATTATAAGTGGTTTGACTAAAATGGAGAATCTTACCGGAACAGCCTTTGTTGTTGCCGTCCAAGATGTAGCCTTCCCGGCATTCACAGCGGTAGGAGCCGAGTTCGTTGATACAGGTATGAGAACATCCGCCATTGTTGACCGCACATTCGTTAATGTCTGAAAACAAACGTACATGACTTTGCATTTAACTACCCTTCACAAACTGAAACGATATTGATCAATTGAAGGTGCCTATTGAACTTTTTAGGGATTGAAAACTAGATTTTTCAAAGTCAATATTCTAGTCACTAATGTATGAAATACTGATGAAAATGTGTTAATTTGGGGCACTGGCAATACAGATGGTCTTATTCAGAATATTCCAGTTTTGCTGCCCTGCAATTGCATTGGATGCCTTTAAATTAACAAGTGTTTCAGGCTCTGTCCTTGGTGCTGAATCATTGGTTAAGTGAAGCGCAGTCATGAGAAAATTCCTTTTTTTGCCAACAGAAACAGTTGTGGTCTGTTCAAAGTCTCTGCTTGTAAATGACATGTCTGTAAGAATGCACATACAGATAAGTTAAGTCTGATGATGATTTATATTTTGGTTGTATTTGTACCTGTTCAGAATATTCCAGTTCTGCTGGAATTGCATTGGATGCCTTTAAAATTGGATGCCTTTGAAGGAAAAGTTGTAGATTTTCCACTAGCAATATTGTTAGAATGTAGGAATGGTAAAGTAACGTTACCGTTCTGACACTGGTCTCCGTTGAAGCCGGGTTGACAGAAGCAGACATTCGGGGCGTCACAGACTCCGCCATTCGCACAGGGAGGATCGCAAACAGCTGAACATCGGAGAAAAAAATGAGAGATTAAGCAACCTTTCAGTGTGCCACTAGGTTTTCCTCCAGTTTTCATCATTACATGGTTCAAATTCCTGTCCCAACGTCCTTCTACAGCAACAATTTCTTTTCCCCTGACTGCAAAATTACATGATTTCCTTTCGAATACAATACTACTTAGCTCAGTTCCTTGGCGTGGTCGATTGACTTAATTTGCACTGAGCAATACCGTTAAAAATGCTAGAGACTGTCCAAAGGTTCAGTGTGCACATGAGGGCAAACAGAATGAATTTGCGGTATGGACGTATTGAAATAATTAGGCAGTGTTAAAGTCTTTCCCTGTGTTAATTTGATACTATGTTAAGAATCCTTAACAACGTCGACATTGGGTATGACTGTCCTGTACGATTTGTACGACGACGATGGTCCCCTCCGGGTTGCCGTACTTACGCTCTTGGCAGGCATCTCCAGAGAACCCTTCCGCGCACTCACACACGCCCGGGCTGACACAGCGGCCGCCGTTACCGCAGCCCTGCGGGCATTGGGCTGCAAGGGGAAGAGATTACATGCTTGTAAAAACGCGTAAATCACGTAGAAATACATATGATACATTGCAGAGTTAATTAAAAGGTGTATTCGTTTTTCAAAACGTTTCATTCGAGGCATGTCTGTGAATAATTTCATCGTGAATGTTGGTGAATGATTGAATATCAAAGTTCTTTATTCAAAACCACTTGTTTAATGAGAGCCGACGATTAGATGACTGTCTGACCTGTTGAAGATGACAGACGGTCATCAAAAAGACGGCTCTTACAAGTGGTTCTGAATAAAGAACTTTGATATTCAAGTTTACTATAATATAAATGTATATCCGATGGTGCTATTCTACAGATTTTATTTGTAGAACTAGAATTGAGAACACTTGTTCAGTGAAAGGCCGGCCTCCGTGTAAGTCTTCCCACTGTGTGTATGGTTTGCCGTACGGACACAGTTACGCGGTAGACTCACGTTCGCAGGATGTCCCGTCTTCCCCCAGGATGTATCCGTCCCGACAGGAGCATGTGTACCCGCGCCCCGGAGCGTTCTGGGTACAGGTCTGGCTACAGGGCGAGGTGGCACATTCATCGATATCTGTAACAAACCGCCGAGAATGTTTAGCAATCCTCAGGACACGAAACGGACTGAACACAATATGTACCTGTTTTTGGTATGTCTTTTGTGTGTGTCTATGTGCCTATGCGTGTGTCTGTGTTCCGCACGGTCCTTAGGGCTGATCTAATACATATAGTTAGGTCCAGTCTGTCCCAGTGGGAGAAAGTCATTAATCACGTCTACATCTGGTAGCGCTTGCTATTTTACAAATGTTTTTCATTACATGACCTCCTTGATAGCACAATAACACAAAATCTATATATTTCATGGGGTCTGAGATCTCCGAATTCTGGATTATCCATTGGTTTGCCTGAAATCTATTGAATATAAACACTAAGCTCCCAAGGTGGCAAATGGTAACCGGTAACTGCCTGGCAAATGGATACTGCCTGGCCAATTTGATATTATCTTCGCAGTCACCAAAAGATCTGCTTGGAGATTATATAAACACAGGTTTAGCTATATGTTTGTTTGATTGAGTAGTTTGCTGTAGTGTGTGCGATGTAAAAAAAAAGCCTCCCCACGTACCGTTACAGGTCTTGCCGTTCCTGGCCAGCTGATAACCGTCCTCACAGCCGCAGCTGTACCCGCCGTGAGAGTTCTGACACTGCTGCTGACAGCCGTGGTCACTCGCCGCGCACTCGTCATGGTCTGCGGGGAGAAATAAGGAGAAATAACTATCAAGGCTTCAAAAGCGACGTCTACCTCATGGTATGAACTGAAATCATATATTTCATTGGGAAATTGTGCTAGAATTTGAATTAACCCATTTCTTTACCAGTACATGATCCTATACTCATAAGTAATCGTATAGACTACAGAAGCTCGAGACAGACCAACATAACAACATGGGCTTAGATAATGTGTTAGCTTCTAGTGTCTGGCGATAGAATTTTAGTCTTCTTAACATCTCCCAAAAGTCTTGTATATCATGATACATGGTTAAAGAATGCAATTTCTTTAGTATTTTGCGTACTTTGTTTCTGTAGTGCCAGTCTGACTAGACGTTTTTCTAAGCTCATACGTTGTTAAAGCAACAATGTGCACCCCAAACCATTTTGTCCTCCAAGACTAGCGGTTCGCTTTTACAATACTGAAAAACGTATAGGCTGTTCAGGAAACTATGCCCAAAAACAGACTTCCAAGCCAAACGGTTCGCTTTACTGTTGTCCTGACCTGAACATCCCCGTCCATCGCTGTCCAGCACGAATCCCTGGCGGCAGGAGCAGACATAGCTTCCCCTGGTGTTGGTGCAGGTCTGGTCACAGCCGCCGTTGTTGCTGGAGCATTCGTTCTTGTCTGTCAGGGGCAATCGTCAACATTTTAGAAAAAACAACATAATCTTTAATCTTGCAACATTTATGCCCGGAGGTTAAGTAAGTTTATTTATAAATGACCAACCAAAGTCCCAAAATCTCGTTTTTATTAGCAGCTATTACTTATATGTGTTGACAAGAATAAAAAGGAAACGTAGATAGATGAGCCATATAAAATGCTTCAAAATCTGAAAGATAAACATGAAAATATATTCACCTGTCTGACAGCTGCTTCCGGTAAACCCAGCGGTACAGGTGCAGGTGTTCGGAGCGGTACAGTCACCGCCATTCTGACACGCACTGGAGCAGATCGCTGTACGGTAACAGAAAGGTCATTAACAAATGTCACTCTTTTCGCTATCGGTGAAATACAATTTTTGCAAATGCATCACGTCTATTTTAGATTACATACTGGTCGAAAGCTCTAGGAGATTACAATTTCTCTTTTCTTGGCACAAAAATGTAACTCTTAACATATATTTTAGGTCAACATAAGGTACTTTATGCCTTACAATCAATTTCTTTATCTAGAATATCTTGTTGCCAGTGAATATCTTGTGGGCAGGAGTACTCACGAGTTGGGCAGGAGTTTCCTGACTGTCGCCAGCCGTTACAGCACTCGTAGACAGCCCGGTACACAGTACGCTGCATGGCCCTGTACTGGGTGTAGTACACCGTCCTACAACATAACACAACAACAAACGATAAGATACGATTTTAATTAGTTACAATGCATAAGTTCCAATGCTCAACATTCCAACACAAAGGGTACACAAGAATCAAATTTTCAACGACAAATGTTGCCTTCATTAGGATAATGAATGACGAACCACTTCCAAACGCAATCTCGCGAGAGATCACACCTTTCAATGTATAGAGGGAGTCTATGTATGGAGCAGACATATGTGTAGAGCAGGTCTATGTATATTGCAGGTCAATGTATGGAGCAAGTCTATGTATGGAGCAGGCATATGTGTAGAGCAGGTCTATGTATAGAGAAGGTCTATGTATAGAGCAGGTCTAAGTATGGAGCAGGCATATGTGTAGAGCAGGTCTATGTATAGATCAGATCTATGTATAGAGCAGATCTATGTATAGAGCAGGTGTATGTATAGAGCAGTTGTATGTATAGAGCAGTTGTATGTATAGAGCAGTTGTATGTATAGAGCAGATCTATGTATAGAGCAGGTGTATGTATAGAGCAGTTCGTTGTAAGGATTGCGGGACTGACCTGTATCTGCTGCACTGGAACAGGAGCCAGCAGCTGGTGTAGTAGACCTGGGTCCTGTGCGCACGCTGCGTCACGGTGTACGGTTGCTGGTACGCCTCCTGGCGGGAGCACACGTGGGCACTGCAGGGAAAGAAAGGGGTGTTTGTTTTCTTGCTTGTTTGTTTGTTGACCATTCTTTATTGATGAGAAGCTCAGATCGGCATGCAGAAATATTCGTGGTCATGAAGGCTGAACAAATTACTAGACACACAGAGCATGGTATGGCGAATAATAGACTCTTCATTTTCATTATTTCTTCACATTTTACTGTTTTACAATATTTTGTTGAAAGTTATGGCATATATTTGCTCATTTTGCAGATGCTTTGTACGATTTACAGTATGGTCAAAAACATTTTATGGAACCGACCAAAATTTCATGCCCGCGCGGATGCTATCCATATAATCAGCATGGCTTAAAGTACACACAGCTTTAGACATCACTCGCCCGACAGTATACTAAATTAGCAACACCATTAGTGCAAACATTCAGCGTATACGCACATAGTTACTACAAATGCCAACATTTTTTCATCGCGCCAAGTGTTTAAGACAAAACGCGAAAAAGATGTTAAGAACATGTGTATTCAACTCTCGTAATGTGGCGTCCAAAGTAGATGTGCCGTTCCAAATGGAGTCCTTACGTAGGAGGAAATGTAGCGGGTCGCCCTGTGTGTGTGTGCGGCGTGACGGAGGTGACAGAGCGGCCCGCCCGCCTGCTTTGTTCTGTCCCCTCACCTGCGGGCATGGTAAACACGGCGCTAACAAAGCGGACGTCATAAGACAACAAGGAAAGGCATTCTTCGTCTGGCAGAACAAGCGGGAACAAATATAGTCACGGGTACGGACCGTGTGACGGCAGCATGTATACTGTGGGGAGCTCGGCTGAGCTGAGTTGGCGGAAACTTATCTCCAAGAAGATTCCCTGTCTAGCGTATTGGATACTGCCTGGCCAATTTGATGCTGTTTTGCCAAATTGATACTCTATTGCAACCACCCAAAGATCTGCTTGGAGATTAACAAAAACAGTTGACAGGCCGAACGCCTGTGAGCAAAATCTGCTGCAAAAATCATGGGAAAAATCTTTTCCGGATCGTTATATGATCGAATGGGCGAGTGAGCGACTGAGTGAGTGATAGATTGTACATAAGATGATATGTTGTTTGTCTGTTTGTTTGTTTGCTGGTTTTGCATAACTTGTAAACCGCCTTTAGGCGTTACACACCATATCTGTACAGTAAGTAGAAGCTGCGTAAGACCACTCATGCCGGGAAGGTTCCCTACTCTTTTCGGTGGGATCTTTAACATGCTCGAAGTGTGGCTCTCTTCAAACATGGGACCTCCGGCTTTACGTCCTTTCCGACAGGACGTCCATAACCGAAGCTAGGTACTCGTTAACACCTGATTCGAATGAGGAAATAGTTGTAAATTCCTTCCCAAGGACGCAACACTGAGGCCTGACAGGGATTCGAACCAAGAACCTTCAGGTTATGAAGTGTGTTGAACTGTTCACCATTGATAGCACATACCGTATAGTCAGTGGCATATGTAAATACAACCTGCCACTTGCTTATTTATATTCGCCCTTAACGGAGGTGTTATTTATTTGCAATCAGCCTGTTCTTACACGGTCTTCTGAGAAGTGTTTTTGAATCAGGTAAAACAAGTACAAAGGCTATGAAGAAGAGCAAAATGTCCCATCTTTTCCAAAATCTGTGGGTTTTGGGTAGTTAAAAAAAAGTCTATATTTTTTTCGTTTTTCTGTTAACTTAGGGAAATTCGGCTACTAGTTTATTGTTGTAGTTTGAATGGAAAACTCATTTCGTGCGTTGGCCCGAAATAGTTTAAGATAAAGTGTATTTCGTCTTCCACATCTTTTGCACCACCGTACTTACATATTCTTTGACTTACAGGTAGGCTTATGTTGAAAATAATATTTTTTTTATGACGGGTATCATTCTTCGGACAGGATAGTCGGTGTATTGAGAACATTCAAGTCCTTTAAGCTTATACCCAGTCTATTAACCTTGAAGCAGGTAGACTTGCACCGCACGTTGACGGATTTATGGTTCGTTTTGTGATTGTAGTTTTCCAAACACGTCATTGCTCAAACACATGACCTCACAAGACCTTTTCTCGTGAAAGAAGCTTTGTTGTAAAAGCAGCTCGTCATTCAACAGTTACCCAATGACATCACACGGTCACCCTGGCTCCTTCCTGCATGCTTGAAAAAGTTAAACGTAGCGAGACATTCGTCAACACTATTCTTGCATAGTTGTACACATTCCTCTGTTCATTTGCTGGTAAGGAAGTGCGCAAACAACACTGCCTCATTGACTTCGTTTTTGTAGAAAAAACAACAAAAGCTAATGATAACACGAGTCCACGACCTGTGCAATGTTGAGACATTTTACAACGTGATAAGTGCTGTTGGTAGCCCAGTCTATCGTGGTTGGGCCAGGCTGTTTTCTCTAATAGTTTTCCCCTGCCCAGCTTAACTGGCAGCTCGGTGGGAGTGGTACGCCTGTAGGAGCTTTGCTGATAGAGTTTGGAGTTGATTAGATTGTGGTAGGGCTAATCCGTAGTGGAAAACCTCCCAGGGTAACTAGCTGAATCGCGCAGCGAAGAGCTCCAGAGTCGTGCAGCCCTGAATAGAGCCTGCCCTAACCACGATAGACTGGACACCAACCTATGCAGTTGGGAGTCTATAGCTCAATACTCAGAACCCTGATAAATCATGGACATTGTATCTTAAACCTGTCACCCAAAGCCAAATTTGGCCTGCCGAAATCCATCCAACCTTGGTTAGGAGTAGGTCGGGAGTAGGATCGGCTGTGGTTGGCTAGTGGTCGGCTAGTTTTCGGGAGTAGGTCATCAGTTATCGGGGCGAGGATGGCAGTCAAATTTGGCTCAAATTTAACTCAAATATGATTCAATTCGTATCAAAAGGTAGGCGTGGCTTATTTTGGTCAGACTGCTCCCGAACTTCAGCCAACCGTGGTTGCTTGGTAGTCGAGGGATGGTTCTGAATGTGTGACAGGGGCTTTATTTACGATGGTAGATGTGTTGTTTTCGCCATTGTCTTTCCAGCTTTTAGAAATGGCAGTCGATATTTTTCTTATGCTG